CACTCTTCCCAAAGGATGTGGTTCAAGCTCCATTACTTGTCCCTTAAAATTAGGCTAGTTAGAATAACAGAATGTACTGAGGGAACACTTGAGCATTGGTAGGGAATGAACACAGTTACCCAATCCATCTACTCATTTGTCTTGCTTCCGTGATTCATTTCCTGAAAAACTGCTTCCAAAATGTGCTAATGACATCACAGCTTCAGACTCCACGGACACGTTTGTGCTTCTTGGTAACCACACAGCTTTCAGAGGGAGTTTACTGGGAGACTGAGCAAGTCGGGGCTCTATGGCAAGTGTCACTGGGATGCATCCTGAACCTCCACCATGCACACAGAGCTGGGCTGTGTCCCTGGAGGGGTGGTGGGCAGGGGGTAGGGCAGCAGCAGAATTTCTGTTGCAGAAGTCACTGCCTCCTGCTTTTCTTGGCAGTGAGGATAAGAAAGGCTTGTCTCCTTGAGAAGCCAGCCGTATTGATTCATTACAATGATTTGATGGAAGGAGAATAACTTATAGCATTCCCCTAAAGTGTAGTGTGATTAGGTTGGTTTCTTCAGTCTGGGCTTGTTGGTTGTGTACATGCCAGAGTCTTTGTTCCTCGTGAGCTTAATCTTGCTTAGGAATGAAATACTTCATGTGCAAGCTCATTAACCACATAAAAACAATTCCATGTTTCTTTTATTTCAACTTTGTTACTTCCTTACTGTACTGAGTCCAAAAACTTGTAATGGGGCTTCTTTAAAAGCCTTGTAGCTGCGGTACTGGTGGTTATTTAGTATACCTGGTGCTCCTCACAATTACCAGTTTTAAGCTTATGGAGACCAATCTGTTTGAAGATGCGATCCTAAAACACAGAACGGCTTTGACTTGGGGCATAACATGAACTCCATCTTCAAGCAGCATTTGCCTCACTGCTCCAGTCTCCCATCTGATTCCATGGATCGCTTTTTCCTCTCCCAATCGTTATTACATAACATCCCCGTGGCAACTTGAGAAATGGCTTACATGGAAAAGTAATCGGAGGAAAAGTATTGATGTATTTTTAGTTTTCTTCTAACACAATGTAGCAGCTGGAAACCAGGAGGAGAGCCAGCACAACGTGAGCTGCCAGCTCTCCGTGGGCCACCAGAAAGTGTTCATCTCACCACAGTGTGAGAAGCATTGGGTTGACTTGAGAAATGTGACACATCATAAGCATTAAAAAAAAGAAAAAAAAAGCTTCTCAAGTTCCCAGAGCTGCTGCTTGGTCATAATAGGAATTAAGTCTTAATGGTAATAGTTTTGGATAGTACTTGATTTGCTGGTTGTGGTGGAGGAATCACATGATGCTATCAAATAGAAGTAGAAAAAATCACTTGTGCCTTAGTTCTTCATTATCTCTGTAATTTAGTGCTGTCCTGTGTTGTAACACTGAACTATTAATTTTCTGTATGCTGACAGTTCCATAAATGGAGAAGCAGAGCATGGAGCTAGCTTAATTTGAGAATTCCTAAAACACGGGGTTAGTGAGAGCCACCGAATGGCTTGGGTTGGAAGTCCCCACTTCCAGACTCCCACCAGAGCAGGTTGCCCAGAGCCCCATCCAACCCCAGCCTGGCCTTGAGCACCTCCAGAGATGGGGCATCCAGTTCTATTCTGCATGGTGCTTTCTGTGGTCGGGTTTTCTGTCTGGTTTTCATTTTCATTTTTTACCAGCTTCTGTAGAGCCTTGTCTACCCATATTTTTTTTGTCTTCCTGTGTTTGCTTTTCCCATTTTAGAATAAGAGAGCGGGGTTGTAACTTTGGAAATGTTAAAATGGCAAAAAGATTTCAAGAAGATCTTTGGAAACTTCTTATCTATTTGAAGTCTTCCTTCTTTCTTTTCATTCTTCTGGGATTCTTTTCATTCAGCCCAGGGATAGTGCCTTAATCCTGTGCTTGTAGGGCTGCTCATGGAGAAGTCTTTGTGGATGAAACGTGGCACTCAACCAAATAGGTTCAAGAGCAATAAAATTCATTTGCAGGATTGTAATGTGTTTAATGAACATAATTGCATTTTGCAGCTCTTATTATAAAAAATAGAAACTCAGTTTTTAAAAGCAAGCTGCTAAAACTTTAGTCTCCTCAAAGTATAAATGAACTTATTTGAGTAGGTACAGCTGTGAACCTCACCCGTTTCTCTTTGCTTTTGCCTACCAGAGACCAGAGTGTTAGGCTGCGATTTCTGCCTCATTCTGCTTACATTAAAAAGTGGTCTGGTGAAAGACAGTTCCTTTTAGATGAATGTGTCATTGCTTCATTTTGCCATTAATGTTGTTCCGCAGGCTGTCAAACTCAATTACAAGTCTGATGTTGTTTTCATGGCTCTCAACAGTGTTTCTTGCCATCCTAGAGCAGGCTTCAGATTCTCTATTGCAAAGAAATGTGCTTTGCTCTTAAAGTGAGGTTTCTATTTATTTTAGTTTGAAACAGATGGAAATATCTATGGCTGAACGATGTGAAATGATATTAGACAGCTTTGAAGGTAGGAGATGTTTTTAGGATTTTGGAAGAAACTTGGAAGAGCTCAACACTGCAATCTTGTTGCTCTAGCAAGTAATTTAGTGAAAATTTGATGTCATCTGAAATAGTGGACCAGTACTGTTTGCTGTGCCTTATGCAGAACAGTATGAGTAGGGAAAACAGTTGTGGTGTGCAGTTGTGTGGAACAGGAGGGAAAATGGATCTGCTCATTCTAATTTTAAAGCAAGAAACAACGTGGTCCAAGTTCCATTGTTTTTTGTTGTTGCTGCTGTTGTTGTTTTTTGCCAGAGATAATTGGCAAAATGTTTATATTGCTTTAACTGATTAAAAAATAATAATAATTTGATAGTGTGATTCCATGTGGAAACGAGTAAACAAAGTTATGTTAGAGAATGGCAATTAAAAATAGATATTTTGCAGCAAACAGCACATTGCATAGATGAAAAGTGCCCTAACTACAGACCTATTGAAGAGTGTTCTAAGATTGATAACTTCATCAGGGCTTTAACTGACGTGAGAAGGGCTTTTTTTGGTAGCGTGGAGTTTTTTTTTAGTGTTTGCAGAGCTTCAGAAGCAGGTTGGCTCATCATGCTGTGGTGGGTAGTCTGCACCCTTTCGCCCTTTTTACAGTCTGGCTGTTTAATGCTGAGAACTGTGGCTTATCTTGGCCACTGAGAACGTATAGAATAAAATGAAAAACGTTGGCTGTGACATATCTCTTCCCAGCACTTTGTTTAGCACAATAATGCAGCGGTCATGAACAAAAGCATTGCTTTCCTCACTAACGCTGGGGGCACCAACCAGCACATAGCACCCAGTTTGACATTGCATTGTGGAGTTGAAGTGAGTGTTATGAACCCACTAGCATGGGACTGATTTTTCTGTAAGAATGCCCTTGCCAGCAAGAGGCAGAACTCTAAGAGGTCACTTGGGTCGTGTATCAATGTGTGAATTCCTTGAGGACGTAATTAGCTCATTCTCTCTGATGGAAGACTCAAGGTACTAATCAGTACTTGGACCATGTCTCTCTTTACCTAAATGTTGAGGAAAGGTGTAGTAATGGCAGTGGTGGAGTTCCCATCCCTGGAGGTATTCCAGAACCTTGGAGATGTGGCAGATGGTCAGCGGGCTCATGGTGGGGTGGGTTGGCATTGGACCTGGGGAGCTTAAAGGTCTTCTCCAACCTTAATGATTCTATAACCCTTTTACTTGGAAAGCTACCTTTCCAAGTGACTTTATTCTGATTTGAGAACAGTAGATCACAAACACAGTGATAACAAATTATTAAAGTAACGTGAAATTTTTGCTATGGAGGTTCTAATCATCACACCTTTTATTACAAGAAGTCCTTCAAGCTGCTCAATGCTGTATGCCATTAGTTCCTTTGCCTTTGACGTGGCACTAATTGCCTTGCCACAGTGCTGATGAAGGGAATGTTGGTTATTACAAAACCTGACTGTATGATTATGTTTGAAGAAAAATCTGGTTTGACTTCCAAAACTTTGTAGGGCTGAGAATAGATTCTGTTAATTGACAATACTATGTGTATGCTTGCAGGTTTTTGTCCTCTGCAACTCGAATCTGTCAGATTAGAATACTGAACTAAATTAGAAATGATACAAACCTCCTTAATATTCATTTCTTTCGTTAAAAAATTATGTTATTATTAACTTTGACTCTCTGACATGAATTAAAAATAAGAATTTTGAAGTTGAGTTTCTTCTTACTGTGCTGTATAGTTACTTTCCTAAAGCTCTGTTCATTCCATATAATGATCAGAATCTGCCTTAAATTTTCAAGGTACATTCAAAGCCATTCAGTGCTCAGCAGGCATTTAGGGATGAGAATGCTTACCTATAGAAAGGGGAGAACATTTTAATATGCATTGTTACTGCAGTTAGGTAGCAAATAACAGAGCTGCTGTGAGATGATCAGTTCAAATTGCAGTTGATGATGGTTTTGGTTGTTTTTGTCCCCAAGAAGTTTCTTATTTGCTGTTACGTTGTCTACCCACAGCTAATGAGCAGCAGTTATATTCTCTACTGGACTCTGGTTGTTGAAGCAGTATTGGCTTTTGTTACTTTGCTGTGCCTCAAATACACTGAGGTTATCAACATTAGAATGCAGAATAAAAATACTGCAGCGTGGAGCACATCGGTTTATTCAAGTGTCTTTGTACAAGCTCCTTATTCTCTCTCAAAACATCAGAATTATGAGGGATCCTTCAGCCAGTGTCTGCTCTGTGTTTCGTGTTCACCCTTCGTTTCCTTTCTGCATGCTTTTTCTTATCTTCCTACGGCTTAATTTTCTCATGTTCCTCCTGAAAATCTCATTTTTAGAAATCATGTCTTCATACTACGCAGAGGTGAATTGCTTTTCTCCTTTTCCACATCCCTGCGTGTTAGATAATTCCCTTCTCTCCAAGCGGGCATTCTTCATTAAAATAAGAGTGTGCATTCTGCTGTCTAATTGTCTCCTTTGTGCCTTTTCTCTGCAGCTGGCCTGTGGACAGTCTTCACCTTGGGCGGAGTGGGGAGTAAGGCAACAGCACAGCTGGAGCAGTGCTCCCCACTGGCTAACCAGAGCCTGCTGCTGCTGCTGGTCCTGGCCAACCTGACCGACGCTCCGGACACACCGAACCCGTACAGGCAGGCAATCATGTCATTCAAGAACACACAAGGTTTGTGTCTGATGGGACAAGATGAAATGATTTCAGACTGAAAAAAGGGGAGATTTATGCTGGAAATAAGGAAGGAGTTCTTTACAAGAAGGGCAGGGGGGTGCCGGTTGCCTGGAGTGGTGATGATGCCCCATTCCTGGGGGCTCTGAGCATCTGGTGGAGCTGTGGCTGTCCCTGTGCACTGCAGGGAGTGGGGCCTGATGGCCCTTCCAACTCAAACCATTCTGTGATTCCTTGATTCTCTGATCTGTTCTTACTCCAAAGCATGAACTGATGAAAATGAAGCTTTTAAGTTGCTGCAACTATTTGGAGATTCTCTTTCCAAAACCTGTTTTCTCTCCAGCAAGTCCAATGAAATAGGACACCTTCCTCTGGGAATTGTGATGAGTAGTTGGCTCCCTGGTGCTGAAACTCATGGAAGGGACAGAGGAAGGAGGGTACTTTTTCCTTCAGACTTGATGAATTCAAGAAAGCTTCATAATTTTAGAAGACACAAATAAAGCTGTCTTCCAAGTAAACTGGTTATCCAAGAGACTGCAGGAGTTCTCTGAAGATTTATAGTGCTTGGAGAAATCCTGGTTAGCTGGCATTATGTCCCTTAGAGCTGTGATGAGCTATTGCATTGCTAATTGTGTCATTCTGTGTCGAAAGTAGCATGAAAACCCCTTTTTTCTTTAGATGTGAATGTCTACAGAATGACATTGTTTCCATTAAACTTGTTTCCACCAGCGATATTCAAATAACTGAGCTTATATTTGGTTCTTGAGAACACTGAGTGGGACTGGAAAAAGGAGAATGGCATAAAAAAGTCTAGTTATGGTCATAATGATTCATAGGATGTGATTTTAATGTGAAAACTGGCTTTTGGCAGTGTTGAGAATGTTGTAGAAAACTTTGCCAAGTGTATGCACTGGAAGGCAAGGGGAAGTAGGAAAGCCACACTGCAGTGGGTGTAACGTTGGTGATCAATCTCTGAAGGTACAGACATGCATCCTAAAAACCTGCTCTGTCCACCAGTGACTGTGCAGAAGTAGTGGTGTTGCCACACTGTTTCCTACAGCACAGCTTTCCTAAGCTGATGCATGTTTAATAAGCAATGAGCAATTCAGAAATCTGTAGTCTGTTATTGTGGGAACTGAGGAATTTTAGTTAAAGTCTTCAAGTTTGGACATCTTGTTTAAAGAAATAGGGCAATTTTTTAAGTCCAGACTTGTAGGATACTTGAGTATTTGAACTGCTGTTGTTCCCAGGGTATCCACAAAATTACTGCAGTTTTTCCATATGGTGAGCTTGTTGATATGCTCAGTAAGGATAGTCCTTGCATCCAGTTGCCAAGACACTGAAATAAGTAATTCAATTCCCGAAGGCAGTCTCATCCCCTTCATGTGTCTGCCATGGATGCTTGTTTGGAATGGTTCTTTGTGCAGAGCTGGGCAGGAAGTTACTATACAAATTTCTGGAGAGGTTTTTGAGAGTTGAGAAACGTACCTCTGCTGCAGTGGAACAAACTTTGCACTCTCAGAGGTGTTTTGTGAAAAAAACAAGGGCATTATCTGACATGGGAAGATAGGGAGGCTGAGCAAGGATGAGAACCTGGCTCTTTGCATGCTGAGCACTGACTGTAGTGCTTGCTTCTTCCATTTCCTCTGGAAATTCCTAGAAGTTAGAGGTGTGTGTTGAAAGTTTTTGTTGAAGTTGGTGGAGCTTCTGGAGAGAAAAAGTTCTCTGAGCAGAATGCTGTTCTGATCTCACTTTCAGCTCTGCCATAAATCATACAGTGAGCATGCATAAGGCACTGCTAGTCTGGTTTGTTAGACTGTATGGAAGGAGGCTTCATCAGTGCTCTGTAAGGCTTATGCTCATCTATTGTAAGACTCATGGATGCCTTGGGTTACCTCTGTATTATGGTGCCTGTATGAAATATTTCATCCAGAGGTTTAAAAAATTGAAAGCTATCGGGATGGCAAATATATTTGCTAACGATTATTTTGTATTTTTCTATTTCAGACAGCAGCGCTTTCTCATCATCACATCCCCACGTTTTCCAGATTAATTTTAACAGCTTGTACACGGCTTTGTGTGAGCAACAGAAGTCTGATCAGGCAACCCTTCTGCTGTACATGCTTCTGCACCAGAATGGCAATGTACGGACATACGTGTTGGCACGGACAGACATAGAGAACCTTGTGAGTATTGTTCCATTCGCCCTGAGGTCCCATCACTAACCCTTTGTGCCAGATCCACACCACATTTAAGTACCTCTCAGGGTGGGGACTGCACTCGTCTCTGAGCAGCCTGCTCACATTGGCAGATCATGTTGTGTTAACTTATTTTTTAGATATTCAGGCCAAAAATTGAACAGGTTTATCATGTGTGTATGTGTATAATAGTTCGCAGAATGAACTGTGACGTGTTTGATGTGCCAGGTATCTCACACAATTGACATGAAGCTGAAACTCCTCAGTGAATACCTTGTAGACTCTGTAGAAGTGCAACTTCAGTGACTCCTTAGCTGCTTCAATAGGATTGTGGTTCACAGCTGATGTAACAGACACCTGGTGCAGTTCTTGTAGGTTATAAATTAGTTGATGCTCCCTGGTGCACTTAGTAATGTCACAAACCACTTCAGCAAATCTTACTTATTAAAAAGCATTCCTCTAATAAGATAATGGCTGTCTGGGGGAATAGGTAACAGAATAGAGAACCTTTTCCATTACGGTATTTGAAGTCCTGCCAGATAATTGGATCCTGTGCCTGTTTGATGGCAGATATGGAATGGGTTTGGGCTCCGTCCAAGCTCTGCCACTAAAATCAGAGTTGTTAGAGACTGCTGTTGGTAGACTCAGGCAGGATGGTTGATACTGAATTGATGATTTGAAACTGAGCTCCTGTGTAGTCTACTGCACATTATCTAGGTGTGACCTCAGTCACTTTGTATAAATCCTGTGAACAAGGCATTATATTTGGTGTCCTGTGCTATTGGTTTGTGGAATGATGGGTTTCACAGTAGCTAAGCTTATCAATCTATTGTTAGAGAAACAAAGTTTAGGTGTAAGCACTGTTTTGAAATGGATTGCTCTGTCTCAAGCTATCCTGTCCATTTATTTTACCCTTCATGCATCCTGGTGCTTTTAATGGTCATTGCTGATACACTGCTGACATCTTTTAGCAATCTGCTTGTTTTCAGTGGGCTTGTAGGTAGGGACAAGCTGCAGCAGGCAGCTAAGAAGAGCAGTCTCAGCTGCTTTATAGCATGTGCTGAGCCAGGCACAAAGAGGATTGGGAGCGAGGAGTTAATGGACGACAAAACTATGGTCTCCCAGTTACAACCCTGTGGTTAAAAATTTAAATTTGTAAATGAGAGGAAGAGGGGCAGGAGTGTGGGGCTGCTTCCGTATATGGCTACAGTAAGGCTCTGTGCTATTCTAGTGCCGTGCTACCACACTCCATGAAATAATCACAGGCTATTGGAAGATGGAGAGAGTGCACAGAAACAGTTTTTTGCTTAAAAAAAAAAAAAACAAACACCCACACACAAACTAGCAGAACTGTGAGAGCTTGTTGTGGGAAACTCAGAAAGTGAACTGTGCTGAGTTAGTGAGAAAGCTGTCTGAGCAGTGTGTGGATGTGTCAGTGTCTTTGCAGGGAAAACATTGTCCAGGAAGGACTCAGCCTGCTGGGAGGCACGGTAAGGATGAAGCCTGAAAGATGAATCCCACGGCTTAGAAAGATGGGAGGAAAACAAAGTAATTCCTTGAGCCAAGGGTGGATAGCTTCTTGGAGGACCGTGGTGTTATCAGCCTTAAACCAGTGGGCTAGCTGGGTGAAGCACAAGGGCTGTGATATGAGAGATCCAGTCAGCGTTCAGCTGAACTCTCATCTAAATTTGAGGGGTTTTGGATTTTGGGGGTTGTTCTCTTGCACTTCATTCGATGCATCACAGCGTTTGTTGTCTTTTTTCTCTTCTTTAACAATTCTTTCTGGATTAGGCACCCAAGAAGCATCGCTAACAGATGTTCTCTGGCATTTCCGAGGATTTTTCAGTTGTCTTTGCACTTCTATAACATCTGTTTAATTTGTAAATTGAGTCAACTGTTTCTAACTGCTATAGTAGATTGTTTCAGCTTGTTTCCTGACTGGTATATGAATCTACCTCTGTGATTTACATGGAAATACCTTTGTTTTCTTGCTTTATTGTACATAGCACAATGTATCTTTTTTCTTCTTGTAATCTGTTTGGTAGAATGTAATAGAGCATTTGTATGTCTTCCATAACTTACACCATCTCATGTAATCTCATGCATGTAATTCCATAAAATACGTGCTGTCTGGAAATGCACCCGCATTGTTAAATTGTATGTGCAAAGATTCTCCAGGAAATGGTGACACGGATGAAACAGGGGGCAATTAGTTCATTTCTTCATAAGCAGAGTAGCATGGTTTGTGGATGGGAGAACATTGAGCCTTTTCTTGTTGGTGGGAGTATGTACAGCTTCTAGTGTCTGCTTTAACTGGCCTTTGCTTGGGGGGTTAAACAGAGAACTTTGTAATGGCAGCTGTATGCTACTGGTTAAAAGCTGCTCCTCATAGAAGAGTGTTAGTAGTAATCCAGTAGCGACACTTAAATGATTCTAAATTAAAGGGTCTGCAGAACAAGAAGTGGTTATGGTATGTTTTTTTGCAGTTTCATTCAGAAATCATTCATTGGAGGGTATGACTGCATGTTCAAAAGCTTTGGAATAAGGAGTTGCACCATTGTATTTTTTTGCTAGAAAAATCAACCAAACAAATAAGAAGCAAGACACTTATTTGTATGGATATTCCTGGATGTAGCCCTCTTCTATTTGGAAGAATGGGTTGTGGAAGCTTTCTGTTAAGTGCTAGTGTGTATTGCACCAAGCATGTCTAAACAGGATCTGCACAACGCTTGGCTACACCACGCCCGTGCATAAGTTTAATTAAGTCACACACATGCATTAAGTGTTAATGCACGTGTGTGACATAAACTTTGTGATTTAATGTATGTCTATACCATAAAAGTGTAGAAGTGTATTTTGGTTACGAATCTACAAAAATTCTAATGAAACTAAAATTTTAGTTTTGTCTTGCATCTTAACTTTCTTAAATCTTTTCTACTTAAATGGTGGTTTATAAAATCATAGAGTATCCTGAGCTGGAAGATGATCCATAAGGATCATTGAGTCCAACTCTTGGCTCTACACAAAGACCAGACCACGCAGCTTAGAGCTTGTTGAATATTTCTTGTTTTCAGAACAGTAGCACTTGTCCTAAAGGAATGCACATCTCAGCATATCAGTGTACAAAGGAAAAAGTGCCAGTGGAATTTATGAGCTGGATGCATTTATTTGGTGTTCACCTGAAAATGGAAGGTAGTTGGCCATTTGATTCTATGATTTGCCTCTTTCAGTTTGGTCCAGTAATAAGAACATGAGAAGTCGTCTCACTGGTTACTTTTGTGTATTGTTTTGTCCTATATGCAAACTTATCATAACTCTTAGGCTTGGAAAGGGTGTTGAGCTTATGCAATTCAAAGCTCCATAAAATTAAAACGTTTCATTTGGGAATAGCTTGAGCAATGGTCTGATGGAGCGACATTTGTATCCCTTCTCAACACAGCTCTGAAGGGTCTGGAATACAGTTCTGTGGGGAGTGCTTAGGGGAGTGGGATTGTTCAGTCTGGAGAAGAGGAGAGTCCCTACAACTCCCTGAAAGGAGGTTGCGGAGAGATGGGCATCGGCCTCTTCTCCTGGGTAATGACAATGGGAATAGAGTTAATGGCCTCAAGTTGTGCGAGGGAAGTGTTCTGGTTGGATATTAGGAACAATTTCTTCTCCCAAGAGTGGTGATGCAGTGGTACAGGCTGTGCAGAGAGGTGGTGGAGCCCCTGTCCCTGGAGGTGTTCCAAAACCATGGAGATGTGGCACAACGGGGACATGATCAGCGGGCATGATGGGGTGGGTTGGGATTGGGCTTGGGGGTTCTATGATGCTCTTTCATCCAGAGAAAAATGGTTTTGCAACACACCAAACACATATTCTAGGAAAACACAGTCTTTACTCTCAAGACTGATACTCATAAAACACAGAAAGATTGCCTCCAGTTTTAAGTGGAGAAGAGGAATCCTTGAATATGTAAAAGACGGAAGTTTGCGATGCGTAAATATTTTTTCTCTACTTTTGCATCTGTATTGCCTTGCCCCTGGCTAAAGCATCTGTCAGAAGTTTTTGTGGCCTGCAGTACTTAGCTAAACCTCATAGGTTTTGATAGAAACTGTGTTGTGTGTTTAATACGTTCCAACTGTTTTGGGACTTGTTGACTGAACAGAACATTCTGGTAACTTCAGAGGCTTATGCAGTGCTCAGCACTCTGGCCTCGCACCAAAATAGGTTTCACATGATTTATCCTGCTTCACTGGACTTGTTTTGAAGAACAGAAGTCTGTAGGTGTCTAGAATCTTCTTGGACACCATTCTGCATCTCATTCACTATCCTGGAATTGGGAGTTGTCTCCAGTTCCTTTTTCCAGGGTATTTTTGCAGTGTGGGGAAGCCACATACTGAGCTAGTGGAAAGCTAATTTCCAATTGGTAAGACGACAGTGTTTGCATCTGGATTAGCTTTAGCCTAGCATTCAGGTATGCTTGCAGTTGCAATTCGTTTTCATTATTACTGCAAGACTTTGGCTGAAGCCGTTCATCCTGGTGGAAATGTTGCAAGACCTTGGGCTGAACTCTCAGCAGAACGTCAGTTCTCGTTGGCTGCACGCTGTCTAAAATGGGAAAAACAGGCCTTTGCTAGTTGTAACCCAACCCAAACTGGTTCTTGTCTGGATTATCTCCACACACCAAAATGGGATCTGAATTTCAGGTCACCTCAGCTCCAATATGCCTGGCTGTGTTTGATGAGGAAAGTTATTTCAGACCAGGCTATGCTAGCAGGAATGGTTAGAAACAACTGTTTTCCTGTTTGCACTGCTGAAAATCTTGCTTATTTTCCCATAGTCTAGAGGGGAACTCAAGCTTTCAGAGCCTACGATAACTACTATGGCTGGAAAAGTAATTTATTAGGAATTGGAATGCCATGTCTCACCACAAGAATATTTTTGTATGGACTTTCTTGTGGAGACAGTGTAAGACAGACAGAAGGTGTTTGAATGCTGTACGTCACTGCTTAGGAGTGGTTCTTTGGAGAGGGAGAAATCACTGTGGTATTGTTCGGGACGGGCTGATAGTTGGGAGATCTGGAGTCTCCTCGTTTTACTGTCAGCTGTTTGAAAGACTCATCTAACGTGCACATGCCTCCTTCCCTAAAGGTTCTGCCAATTCTCGAAATTCTGTATCACGTTGAAGAAAGGAATTCACACCATGTCTACATGGCTCTCATCATTTTGTTGATCCTCACAGAGGATGATGGCTTCAACCGATCCATTCATGAAGTGGTGAGTTGCTGCTTTGGTAAATAACTCCTGAGACCTAAAAATCACTCCAATCTTTATTTATAATTTTAAGCGTGCAGTGACTGCGGATTGAGGGACTAGAGGGGCTATAAAAGGGAGACAGAAACAGAAAAGCCTTTTTATTTCTTTTCAACATCTTTGCTTAACCAGTTTGATGCAGCTGAGGGAGGGTCTTAGTTGGAGTTTTATTTTCCAAACTGTTGCTTCCTTACTTGGCATTTCTTTTCTGTCTTCCTGCTAGATTAATATCTATTCTACACTGTCCATATAATATCATCCAAATGTTGACTCTCTGTGATGGGCCTTGACCATCTGTGCTGGAGAAGACCTTGGATAATAATATTCTGGTTCCCAGCTTTTAACACTGTGATAATACAGATGTCTGCACTGATTATATTTTATTTTTTGACTGGGACATAGAAACTCTCTTTTGGGGTTATGTAAAATCAATGAAATGCAAAAAGCTAGAAGCAACTGCTCTCAAGTAAATTTCCAGCCTGACTGGGAAGTAATTGGTGTTTCGTCTTAGTGCCAATGATCAGACCTTAATAATACGTATGTTCTGAAATGTCAGAGTTTTATATAGCTCTGTATGTCATAAATGGAGCTTGGTGAGGGTTTAGGGTACAGTAGATGATTCCAGCCCTGCCTCAGTCTGTTTCCTCATTGTCCTTCATTTGTTTCAATTGGTTGACATGCAGTCTGTCAAAAATTCCTTGCTGGATAAATAAAGTGGAAGATTTCCCTAATGCTGTTAATGAGGATCCAGCTGTGGAATGAGAGCTTAAATCAAGTGTCCTCGTCCAGTTTATGCTTGCCATCATCACTAACCCTGCCAATGTATTTGTAGCGTAATGTGGATGTTATTTTACTACTTCCGTTTCAATTACAAAAATATCTGGTTCCTTTCACCCTGAACTGATTTGCTCAGCCTTTGCCTTTTTCTATTTTCTTGTCCGTTTAATCTGTTTTACTTCAGCATCTGACTGCTTCTTTCTTATTCCGTGGCTTTTTCTCTCTACAATTCCCTCCATATGCCTGCTCAGTGGCATACTTTCAGCAGTAATGCCAAGGAGTTTGCTCCTTCTGCAGATTGGTGAGGGTGGCTGCGGGCTGCATTTGTGTCTCTGTGAGCTTCTTTGTCACCCTACTTCAGAATAAGGTGTGAAACTTTGGACATAAAAAGCCAGTGGAGCGCTATGACACAGCTGAGGTCAGGTGGAATAATCTTAATTCTTCCACTGGTTCTCCTCTATTTCTTAATACTGATTTTCTCACCTTTTATCACTTTTCTGTGATGTGTTTCACATCAAAGCAGAGAGCAGACTTTATAGAATCATGGGATGAATGATAAAATGGCTTAGATTGAAAAAGCCCTAAAGATCACTTCAAGGCAAATCAGAATGCTGTTCCACCACTGCAGTCCTTGCCTTAGTGATTTTGAAGGCTTTTTCCTTGCCCCATGCTTAGGAGAAAGAGCTTTCCCATCCTTTGAAATGGTTTAAATCCTCGTTTCCAGGTGTTGGTGACTGAACTACTATTCTAAAAGTACAGTGTAACAGAAGTATTTAGTCTCCTGCTTTCCTAAAAATTAAGTCCACGTCTCCTAAAGTCTAAGGGGGGTATTATAAAGGAGAAAATATTATGAATGGAACTGGGAAATTGCATGTACAGTTGACAAATGTGAACATCAGTTACACAAGTGGAATGAAATCTTATTCACTGCAAAGATTGCTCAAATTTAACAACTACAGCTGTATTTTTTTTTAATCGCTTGGCTGAAGAATGAAGAGAGAAGAAATTGATGTATTTTAGGTCAACCTGGTTTTCTCACTGCTGCTATGTATCCTATGTAATGTTCTTATAAAAACCTTTATACGCTATTTTCCTTTCACCCACATTTATTCATTGATTTCTAAGATTAATTTCAGTAAGCCCGATTTTATAAATCTTGTGATTATACAAACTAGTAAAGAGCTTAGGAAACCACAGAAATTCTTTTTGACCGTTGAAGCATTTCTCTTTAAATTGATTGTGGTCTTAACTGCTGGAAACCATGATCCAAACCATTAGTCCCAGTGTGACTTCTTGAATTTGGGGCCCTGGAACCACGGAGAGCTCCATTTTTTTCATTAATAACAACTGAGTAAATGGGTAAATGCAAGAATTCCCAGAACGGATGTGTATCGGTGATTTTTCTTTCCTGATTTATGCAGTTGTAGAGAAAAAAAAGATCAAATGTCACAATAACTTTGTGTAATTGACAGCAACCTGTAGCACTACCACATTACTTTGTTCTGTAGCAGTTAGCGACAGACTGTAAAGCACAACTTAACTGTGTTTATCTTTATTCTGGTAAAGAACATTTCTCAAGCCAGTCAATGAGCAAACAAGAATCTCAGAATGAGAAAACAAGAATCTCAGTGCTCAGGATACAGAGGACTGAGTTCCTGTTCTTTTAGTCTGTGTCTTCAGTGCAGTGCTCAAAAGAGCATTTAATCAGAACCTCTGTTTTTTATCTTGCAAACCAAAGAGTTTGTTTCAAGTGTGGCATTGTTTTCATGTGGATGATATTGAAATTTGAAATACTTTTCACATTTCATGCTTCTGGAACCAGTTGCTTTTGTTTTATGAAATTACTATCCATGTCTAGAATAAGGCCTATAGGATTCTTTTTCCTTTCTTTTTTTCAGGTTTTGTTTTCAAACCTACTGACTAAGGGTTTTGGTAAAGCATGCATGTAATTATGTCTTGAATATTTAGTACTACTGTCAGTGGGATCCAACCTATAATGAAAGATGTCCCTTGGAGCAAAGAAAACCTATGACATACTTGTTTGTGATCCAAGGGCAGAAGGTAGTGTATAAAAAGTAGAATAATACACAGAGTGTGTGGTTTTGAGTTTGTATTTCAGAAAGTGTGACACAGAACAATTGTACTTTAAACTTTCAGTTCTCAATACCGAGAATTTTTATTCCTATGGTGTTTGAGTGCCTTTTGGATCCTCAATAAAAGCATAGCACTGATGATCTATCAACGTCACAGACTGCAGTATAAATCACTTTTCAGTTTATGGGGCTTGATGGAAGGCATGAGCTCGTTTATGTGTTAAACTTACTGCAAGAATTAAGGCTGCTGACTAGAAAATAAATTGTGCAAGATGCATGCTGTCATATACATCCTGCTTGAAATATGAAACGTCTTTGCTGCAACTCAGCATTGCATTCTGCTGGCTGATTGTGTTAGAGGGATCCTAGTCTTGTCATACGAAAGCCTGGTGAGAATTCATAGAATCATGAAATCATTAAGATTGGAAAAGATCTCCAGGATCACAAGTCCAACCCCAAGTCATGCCCACCACGCGCACTGAACCACTCAGAACCAAGGCACGTTGGTGGAAAAGGAATCAAGATCAACAAGTTATTGGTTAGGGAGGGAGAACAAGACCTTCCTTGCTTAAGTGTTCATTTTTAAATTCAACCTTTAATTTTCTCTTTAAAGAAATACCTCTTACTCGATGTGCAATGAAAAATGTGATGTTAATATTAGCAAGACTCCCACTGATGTCCCTCTGTACAAAATCAATATCTAAAAAATAATAATTGCATTATGTAAATCTCAGCTGTGCACACTGAGCTTGTTTTTCTGTAGCAGAAGATGATTAGTAACCATGTACATAAAAATGAGGATTTGCTGGTTTTATTTTTAATGCAGCAAGTCAGTATAACTATAAGGTTAGGCACTGGATTTTTACCTGTCTGTTTGGACACAGATGCATTAACTGAAATATTTTGATGTGCTACATCCGTTAGTCCCTTAGCTGCTCATAAGAAAGTGGGTTATGATTCTCACGTTGTTTTAGAATAATGTTTTAATGTAGGGAGAATTCCTGTGCAATGTTGGTTACCAGGGGATTAAGTAAATGAAGAATAAAGTATCCTTAAAGGTTGTTAAGTGCTCTGCATTAAGCTTCAGTTCTGCTTTTGTTGCTTATTAAAGGGCTTGTTTGTTAGTGTACAGGGAGATGCTTGTAGATTGCAAACCTGTCCAGAATGTTGGTGGTTGTTCAGAAGTTGCTATAATTTGGATCTCTATAGATAGAGACATTGGGATAGTCATGGCAGGTCATACTGTGTCTACAGATAAAGTACATGCTTTTATAAAAGCATCTGCAAAATTTAAAAGAAATGAAAATGCAAAGTTTTGTTGCATGTTGACCCAAAATGAGAATAAATGGAAGAGTGTGTTGCAACTTGCAAATGTAACTCTTCTGTTGGTTGAGTATCAGAAAATGGTGGTGGGATGCAACTGGTAGGGAAGGTGAACTGAAAACCAGGACAAATAACTTCAAGTACTGAGAGATACCAGCTCTGGAACAGCTTGCCTGCTGGAAGGTGGGCTGCTCAACTCATTTATAACAGGAATAAACAAAGATTTTCACTACAGGCTGTGAAGACCAATCTTGTTTTGTCAGTAATACGGAATATGGGATCCAGTATATTCTTTCCAGTTCTGATGCAGTTCTATGAGTCATAACTTTCATAATAGTTTTAAAACAAACCAAATCAGTATTTAAATGTGTTCAGTATGTGTAATACTGCAGGGAAACAACAGCCAGTGTTAATAACTGATGATTTGGGTTTCACACATAAGGATATTTTCTGTTTGTAGGCTCCAGCATGCCCTCTCTTTGAATCCTCTTTAAAACATCTTTGCATTGGTTTGTTCCTTGCCGAAATACATCCCTTTGCAAATACACCAGCTGAATATAAAAGTAATGCAGTATTGTTTGAGCAGATCCAGTCTTTGGACTGAATTGGAGAAGCTGGGTTAATGTAGCAGCTCTGAGTCTCCTGTTTTGTTCTCAAAGGTAGGGGAAGGAAAGAAGATTTATATGCTTCACATACTGCTGTTGATACAAGTTTTTTGGTGCACTGGCTGTTAATAGGAAAAATAGTCACAGGAACAGGGACAAACTCTGTCAGTAGCAACGAGGACACATTGCCCTCTCTGCATTTGTGTCATGTCTGTCGTCAGTGGGGGCAGACACAAAATGAGCAGGATGAGAGGCGAACTGAATAGTGCACAATGAGTAATTCCACGCTCAGCTTTTGCAGGGCGTGGGTTGGTAATGTACTCTGAATTATGGAGCTCTCCATCAGGTACCTCATGTGGCCTCATGATTTCCTTCTAAACCACACGTCTTTAGCAAATACTGCTTGACACTGAAATTCTTGTAGCGGAGTGTCTTCAAGACCTTAAGAAGCAGCAGGAGGGAATAACCACGTGGAGGGCCATGATCTGCAAAGGCACTGAGCAGTGTATGTTCTCCTTAAATATATGTTACATAGAGAATTTCAGATGACAATTATGCTACCATGGAAATGAGCAATTTGGAGTGACCTTTTTGGAAGTCAGTTCTGTGCTTTTTCAATGATTTGCAACCAAATGATTGCATCAAGCCTGACATACAATTAATGTTTATAACATATTTCTCTTGATTATTTCTCTGGCAGTGTTCAGTTATAGCGGAAGAATTGTGCATCACCCAACCAAGGGCTGATACAATGGCAGATGCCCAGATTTGGCCACGGATATTCTGCTGCAGACTTTGCAGAATTTGGTATTGTGAATTTCTTCAGGATCCCATGAAGATTAACTTACTGAGATTTTTTTTAGGTAGCTGGAGGAGACTTTGGATTCTGAAAGTATTTCCAAATGCTTGTTTAGTTTGTTGCTATGTCTCCATTCTCTCTATACAAAATGGAAACCTTTCTGAGCTTATTGATCAGTGAGGGAATTTTACAAGCCAGTTGATGCAGGGTGAAGGTCAACCATTCTTTCCAATCATCCAAACAAGAGATGGGAGGAAGGGATACAATCAGAAATGTTTTTGTGTAACATTTTGACAGCAGTAGTTACTGAAATTGAACAGTGAAGTTTAGATTTTTAAGGTGGTTTTTTTTTTTTTTTTCTGTTAAACATGAAGTTTCAACAAAACATACTAAAAATATCAAAGATAAAAGCTTTACAGAATGGCAGCTCTTTGTGAAATAGTCCTTGCTGAGTAAATCTTTGGTTTGACACAGAATAACCCTACGTTTATTGGGGAACTTCTCTGTGCTTTTAGGGTATTTGCCATTTATTATTTTTTATCATTTCTTGCAGGCAGGATTTTTTTGATATGTGCTTACAGTACTCCAAATTGGTTGCTTATAATTCTGGGAAGAATGACTGTGTTAATTCTCCTCTTGCAATAAGCTCTCAAATAGTGGTAAACCTCGATAGTGAAAAGCACAGAAAGGTGTGAAGCTCTGGCCAGATTTACAAGGCCATCAGCTAGGTTAAGGGAAAAGAGAGTTCGGAGACCTTCCTGTGTTCTTTTTCAGACCTAGATGCTGAACAGCTCTTTTCTTCTTTCCAGATATTGAAAAATATCACTTGGTACGCCGAGCGTGTCTTAACAGAGATCTCACTTGGGAGTCTCTTGATACTCGTTGTGATAAGAACCATCCAGTACAACATGACACGGACACGGGTAAGAGTTACACTGAGTGCTTGTGTATACAGTGAGGGCTTCTAAGTTCAGCAGCAGGATTTCAGTCTCAAACAGAGTGTGGGATTTCTTTCTGTTGCAGTGAGTTGGCACTGGAAGTTGAAGGATGGAAGGAAATGGGAAGAAGAGCCATATTAGCTAAGCACAGTGTTAGATGGCTCTGAACTTGTAGGACATTTTCTGTATTATCATTCAATTCATTGAGTAGGACGCTCTAAATTCCATAATTTAGGTACAGAACCGTTTATCAGATGAGAAGAAAAAATTCCATTGTCTAATGGGGAGATTGCTTACAGTTTCCTTGCTTCTACTCCATTATTACTCAGAAGTGGGCAATTCAGTTCTATGTGTAGTCAGTGTTCTTACGATGCAGAACAGCCACTGGGCCAGTAGGGCATTTTGATTGTAGTACCTGGAGCCTGTTACTCTCAAATGTAAACGTATATTTTAGATCAGGGTAGGGAAAATAAATCCCTTGTAGGTGTAATTAAACACTGATGTGTAGGGGCTGGTCATGCTGGTGGCTCAAAACAATGTATGAATGCTTGCCAAATTTGAATATACTGAATAATATTATGTTATTAATAGTACCACAGCAAGTCATATATGGATTCAAGATTTTTTTTTTTTTTCTCTTTTGAGCAATGGCCCAGTCTGTGTTTACTTGCCTGCAGCCAAACTCCATCAGTAATGATGGTTCCCATCTTACTGAGGGCTCTGATGTTGGGTTTTGTGAAAACCCTTGGCTTTGATAGGGCCATCACTTAAGTGCTCCTCTGGACAAATGACTTCTGGGATTCTAAAGGGGAGCAGAAATGTTAAGTATCATGGAGTAATAGTTGTAGTAGTAATATGATATAGTAATAGTATCACATATTAATATTTAGTAATAGTAGTCATATGGTAGGATATATGGAATGTTTTGAGAGAGTTAGTAGAGAAATACAAAGCAGGAAATGTTAAGATAAGACTACAAAATGGAGAGAGATAAAGGGAGAGAAGAATTTATTTCTGTATTTATTACCACTGTGATGTTTTGTAAAATAATTTGCTAAGGATATGAAGGTATACATGAAAGATATGTAAGTACACTCTGAAATCTTTGTCAAGTCACTCTTATAAGCCTTTTATCAAAAGAGAAATATTTAAAACATCACTGCATGTATGAACTTTGTCATTCTCCTGTGAGCTGTTGACCGTGGCCTTTGAAACAATGGATATCAGCCCTGTGAGTGGTTTCCTGCAACAGATGTCACTATATATAAAAAGGACAGTTTGATGTGTTGGTTTCTCTCTCTTCTTTCTGACAGGACAAATACCTGCACACCAACTGCCTGGCAGCCCTAGCCAATATGTCAGCACAGTTCCGCTCACTGCATCAGTATGCTGCGCAGAGAATCATCAGGTAAATATGAGACTTCTGAAGTGGACTTCTTCTTAAACTTCTCCTTAAACCTTGCTGAATCTCAGGAGCAGAGGGACTTGAATTTTCTATGCCATAAAGCTAGTGAACTTAATAGCTGAAATGATAACTGAATAACTGAAGAGTAGCACAATTAATTTTATTTTCTTTATATTTGGGTCTGTTCTGAATGCACAAAAATGTGAGTATCTCTACCTGAGTAACTCTTGCTTTTGTTTCTCATAACATAAAGCTCAGTAGCAGCCTTAAAGCTTGAAGGTTTTCAAGAATTTCTGTAAGTTACACTTCTTGTACTCATGCATCACATTATAGGAATGCACTCTGCTGGCAGTCAAGTACTTTGCAAACTGGATTTTCAACGTACTTTACTTCTTCCTGCACATTTGAGAAAAGATTTATTTCTTAAGTCAGACAGAATGTGGTGATTATTTTGTGCTGAAAGTACGGACAGTAAACCCTACATGATACTTTTCACATGCTCTGGTTCCAGAGCATGGCCATAGCTTAGGAAGGAGGTACTGGAGTTGGTTCTTCCCATTTTTGCTGTGCTCCAGTCCCTTTGTGAAAGGAGGTATCACACACGGGGCATCCTGCTCATTCTGGCAGCCAGCCCTGCTCCGTGCTCCAGGGGAAATTGGGAAGGTCCTTATGAATGCAATCTGGAATAAACTTCTTTAGTGCTTGTCATTGCAGACAGTGTGCCAGAAATAAGTAAATGATAACTGCGTGCCTGTACGCTTTGTAAAGGACTTGGTTAACAGAAAACATACCTCATCCTTAAACCTCTCTAGTTTGGATTTAATTCACTCCTACTCCCTTCTCTTTATGAAATCCTTGTTTGTGAAAATATCAACTACTCATCAGCGTGAACATTGCCATCGTCTTTTCCGTGTTTAACACACACATCCTTCTAAAATCCTACGACAGTGAGTGTTCAGGCTTGAGCTATTTTCCTGCTATACATCTCAGACATTGCCTTAGATGCCTGCACTCCTCATTTCTCAAATCAGAAGGGTGGATTTTGAGCTTTCCAAGCACTTGCAAACTCTGAAATCATAGTTTCTACCATGCACTTTGCACCACTTCTCAATACATCTTTGGGGCACGCTGACCTTGATGTTTGACACCTGTCCACGACCCCAGGAAGGATGTGGAACCTGATGAAGTTCTCTTGCACTCCTCATATGCAACATTTCAACAACCTGCCATGAAGTTGGTGTGCCCTATTTGTCATCTGTCTAAACATGCTGAAATATGGCTGCAGCATTGCTGCTTGTGAAAGAATTGTGCTAAAATTTGTATGGAAGATATGGTTCTGGTGTTGTTGTCTAACACAGCAACTGCTGGGTGCCAGCAGGGTTGGCTGTGTTGTTCTGGAAATAATGTTGGAGTAGGGTAAGGATAGGTACAGAAAGTGGACGTTCTCATCAATCGAAGAAGGAAACTAAAAAGGCAATATGGTATATATCATGTACAGTGTAACATTATTACATAGTTCAAAGATATACCACACAATTGTTTTTAAACTTCTGCCCTTCTGTAGCTGGATGCTCCATATTACTATAGAAATTGGAATGAAGGAGATGAAATTTGAAACAGAACCAGAATAAGAAGAGGAGGGTTAGGGACTGCATTTGATTCTTTTTCCCTCAATTTTTGAATATAATTCACTCAGAATCTTATTCTGCAGTTAGAAAGATGTATGTCTGGAAAACAGGCAAAAAGTGGCCACCAAGATTGTGATCTTATTTGTCACAATAATTGTGATCCATTGCTTAGAAATCAAAAGACCCCATTAAAAGCAATTGGAATAAATATTCATCAATGCATACATTTCATTAAGGATGACTGTTTTGAGGCATATATTCTTCCTTTTCCTACCTTACAGAATCACAGAATTGTAGGGATTGGAAGGGACCTCTAGAGATCATTGAGTCCTCTCTCATTCGGTGTTGAGTCACTGTTATTAAATGTAGCCAGCACCAAAGGACCCAAACCTGCTCCTTGATCCCAAAGCAGAACACACTTCAGATTGTTGTTCTGGTTCTATCGTCAGAGTGCAAACATCTCTGAGAGAATAAACCACAGCATACTGGATTAAAAAGGTCTTTCTGTGAAGGAAAAGCCTATAAAGAGTACCAGGTATTTAGGGATAGATGTATGTTAGGATACAACACTTAACTTAAAATCTGTTTAGCAATATAACTGAATGGGCAGTCATCATTGGAGCTTCACTAGCTGCTCTAGTGGTTCCGTTCTTCATGTGAGAAGTAATTCCATCTCCATGCAAGCTTTATCCTAATCCTGTTCTGAGCAGAAGTTGCAATTGTTTTAAATTCTGAAGACAACTTCTGTAAAGGAAGTAGGGGAGAATATTCAGTGCTGCATGCATTGGAGCTCAGCAAAATCCAGCTCCATAGTGTTGGCTAATTTGTTTCCCATTCCAGCAGGCATGAGAATGGACAGATTTGTGTGAATTTATCACCAGCATGTGCTGGAAAGAAAAACAGATGTCAGAGATGCTTTATGACAAGAAGCAGGGCAGCATTCATTTCAGGTCAGATGTCCTCTCCTATAGGTTTGCCATGACTTTGTGTTGTACAGTGAAATCCTTCCTCACTGCCCACTGTTACCACTGATCTGTTGTTAATTACACAGAGGTGTTTTATCAGTGCAGTGCCAAGGATGTTGTGCTGCACTGCATCTATCCTGTTTGCAAGGTGCTGATGTTTATGAGGCTGGTTATGTCAGCTGAGCATTCTTCCTGCATCTCAATGGCTTCATCTGTAGGAGTGTTTGCTACTTCCTTTGTAGACGTAGAGGTTTCTAAGGAGGACCACTAGAGGTTGCCATACGCCTCACTAATTAGGCATGCACATTAAGCATTAAGTGAATTTATGGGGCTAGTTTTTCCTTTTATCTCACCCTCTCACAACAGCCATTTACATGCAGGGCTGCGTGAGCCACCATGAATGGTTTATCAGCTGCACTTCTCTCCACTGGACAACTTAAGGAAATTAAAAGAAATACCATAAGATGGCAGAGTTTAATCTGTTGCATGCTCTTATCTCTTTGGCCGTCCTGGAGAGACAATAGATATTGCTCCAGAATCCGGTCCTTTAAGAATAAAATTGCATGATGTTACACAAAATTGCACCTTTTCAGAACTGAGATGGTTTTTAATGGAGTGTAATTTGGAAGTAGAATGTCTGAAATTCAGTAAAATAGCGTATTATGTATGCAGAGTGTTTGGTAATAATTAGAGGTTGGACCAGATGACCTTTAAAGGTCCCTTCCAACTCAAACAGTGATGTTATTCTACAATTCCAAGTAAGATCAATCAGCAAATTTCATTCTGAATGAGAAAAATTTGTACCAGAGTTGGTGCTGCAAAAAGAAGAATGCATATGAAATGAGTGCAAGATGTATTTCCCACAGCAATGCTCTTTTAATTTGATTTGTTTCTAAAGAAGTCTCTGGATTTTAATTGTAGGTGCATGTCTGTGTATTTTCATCACTGCATTTATTTGCTGCATGTATATGTAGCCGTGTAGCTACATATATAAACATGCAGTAATGCACATCTAGACTCTAGTGATTTCAGGTTTATCAGCCAGTTTTTGATGAAGGCCTTAATTGCTTAACGTAAAGTTGTCAGAGTCCTATAATACCTTCTGTGATCACAGCAGTAACTTGAGATTAACAAGGGAATTACAGAAATGTTTGGTGTGTACTTTCTTCAGTCTTTATGATATTGAATCATTTCAGTTTGTAGAATCATAGAATCATTAAGGTTGGAAGAGACCTCTGAGATCACCTAGTCCAGCCACCCACCAATATTGCCCACTAACCACCTCCCTAAGTGCTACATCTACCCTTTCCTTAAACACCTCCAGGGACAGAAGCCCACCACTCCCTGGCAGCCTGTGACAGTGCCTGGCTGCTCCTTCTGAGATGAAATTGTTCCTAATACCCAACCTGAACCTCCCCTGGTGCAACTTGAGGCCATCAGATCTTGTCCTATCTCTTTCTTATCACTGGTTACCCAAGAATGGGTTTGGCTATGATGTAAATATGAGCTGAGTCTGTAAATTCAGATTTTGTTTAGCTCACCGTGTTGTGTATTAAAGTGTTCAATTTTTTTTCTTTCAGAATTTAATTCACCTTCATGTCAATGAAGGACAAGTTGCCCAAGGAGGCTGTGGATGCCCCATCCCTGGAGGCATTCAAGGCCAGGCTGGATGTGGCTCTGGGCAGCCTGGTCTGGTGTTTGGTGACCCTGCACATAGCAGGGGGTTGGAACCAGGTGATTGTTGTGGTCCTTTTCAACCCAGGCCACTCTATGAGTCTACAGTTCTATGATCTTCATGGCATGACACATTTTTTGTGATATTTCTGAAATAATTTGATAGAGTGCTATACCTCTTAGTGAGTATTCTTTACGCCCATCTTTTTATAGGCTCTATGCAATCAGATTAGTTGTTCATATTGTCAACTGTCACATTCTATTGCTCTAAAGAGAGCATGTTACTTGCCTGTGCTTTCCCCTAGATTGTCAGTTGCTGTTTTTATAAACTAGAGACAAGGAGAAAATTAATCATTTCTCATGTCTCGTGTTTGGCAGAATAGTGAGGAGTTTACAATGTGTTTGTTAATCAGGTCTGCACATAGACCTGTCAGTCTTTATGGCTTTCAGGGGAAATTGAAGTCTCTCCTGACTTCACAGTTTGATTTATAAAGCAAAAAAAGGACAATCAGAAAAATTTCATTCTGTGGTTGGTTCCGTAGCAGTGAGTTGCACTGATGTGGGTTTGGAGGTTGGGACTGTGTGGTTTTTGTTTGTTTGTTTTTGCTTTGCTTGTTTGTGTTGCTTTATCTTTACTCCAAATCTACCCTTTCTTCAGGCAGAATCTCTGCATAGAAGCAGCAGACTTTTGGGCTGGACAGGCACTGCTTCTTCAGGCAACCCTTCTGCAAAGAAG